TTGGCTAGAAGAAGTGATCATAAAAAAGAATCAAGTGCTGGGAGATTGAAGAACTGTTAAGGGATCGGGTAGTAATGTCTGGAATAAAAAGCATTAAGAGAAGACTCTTCGCGAAGAATGCTTACAACTCTGAAATATGGAAAATAACGAAGTTATTCGAAACTCAATCATAATGAAGATTAACCTGTTGGTAAGCAGAATTTGAAGGAAAGAGGGTTTAACGGAAGCAGGATGTGGCATTGGGTTGCATTCATCCTTTGCGACATTTTGGAGAAGAAAATGAACACAGAACTAAAATCTGATTTTGAACTAGTCCTTCAGAGTCAACCATTCTCATTTATTTATTTCAATACTTATGCGAAATCGTCCCTTCCACTTTCCCCGAGAAAGCGGAAGAGAGAGAAAATGAGAGAGAGAGACAGACAGACAGAGAGAGGTCACGTTCTTCTTCATACAGCCGTAATTTCGTTAAAAGAGTGGAAAGGATTCGAAGGAAGAGCGCTTATTCTTATTATTTGGTGATGATCGTGCGAAATCAGCCCTCTTGAAGCGAAAAGGAAACCATTCCGAATTTCCAACCGAAGTGTGGCGCGAATTTTAGTCCAGCCTAATAGTTCCACGTTTGGCTCGCTTTTCTTATCCATCTAAGAATTTCAACCTTTCTTTTACATCGCTGTCCTTATACTATTTAGTCTCTGTATTCATTCCTTTTGTTCTAGCGTACATACCTTTCATATAAGACGCTATGTGAGAAAACGAATTCACCCTAAATGTGCGAAAAAAAACGCGAATCTGCGTTTTTTTTTGTTTTTTCTTTCGAACATTCAGGGTGGGTATTGTACCTTTCATATAAGACGCTATGTGGGAAGAAAACCTAGCTAGTCCAGACGGAATCCAGTACATGATCCTTGCGCCACTGAGCCTCTCCACGTTTTCAATTCTTCTTAATTGATCACCAATGTCATCACACCTGGTGGGAAAAGCCGGCGGAAGCGGGTTCAACCCCACTTCATTTGGCATGCGCGACTGATTGCGACTATATCCACTGTATGAGATAGCGGGGCTACGGCTTATTAAATCCCATGAGTTACGAATTATCAGCTATCACTTGCCTGCGAGGCCGGCGCTCTTGGATACATAGCATAGCGCATAGTTCATAATAACAGTTTAGTTATTATGAATATGTAGTCCCTTAATTCTGAGAATGAGTGGATTTTCACTTCACTATTTGTTTTTATGCTTGCTTCGCACGCCTACGTATGAAAGCAAGGTGACAGACCGAATCACAATGCATCTGACGCGATAAAATTCTCCGGCCTACTAAGTTTACCACATGCTTGTAATCAAGATAGCCTATTATCTTTACAGTTCGTGATAACTCGTGTGTTACAGCATTTTTTTGTTCCCGAGGAAAAGCTTCATTATTTGCTTTGGCCTTTGCTTGCTCGAACTGAACCCATTCGTTTAATATGCTGTCTCTCCCTCTTTGTTACATAGCAGCAATCGCATCGATCTCACCATAACGAAATATCAGGGCTGGATGCGCTCTTGGTTGGCTGTGGTGAGTATTCTATGTATCGCCTCTCCTGGAATATCCGTGAGATGCGATGAACGTGATGCCTCCGAAAGTCCAGGATACAAGTTGGCATCAGAAATGCTCACAAAGAACATGAATTTCTCGGTATGTCATCATCACATGTACGTTTGAAGTGAGGACGAATTGCTTTTTGATAAATACCTGTTTTGGTCAGCAGGGTTGCCTATCCGAACTCACACGAGTGGACATAAAGTATAAAATAAAGATGAGAATAAATAGATAGTAACAGGCAAAGTAGATAGAATAGAATAAATTAGATGAAGATGGAAAGATAATAATTTGCAAAATTTTCATCGTTGATTTTGGGCACAATTCCATTTCTTTTCAGTGCCTTTCTAGGTATTATGTGCGGTGGGGCCCAATACAATTGGATGTGAAGTATCCCATGTACAGGTCATGTTTCTATCTTCCCAAAAGAATTTGGCACCATCGTCCTCTAGAGAGGAGAGTAGTCTGCTTGCGCGAAAGCTGATCAGTAACTGTATACTCGGGTAAGCTGCAATTTGTTACAGCACCACCTTCGAAATTTAATGTGGGCATGTGGTCATTGACTTAAGAATTGATTCAAACTAGTTGAAATACTATCCTCCAATGTATATGCGATATCGTGAAGTTTTGTGCGCGATCCTGCGTGAAGCCAAGAAACGACGATAGCTAGAGGGCAGCAGCTGCCATAGCATCGAAACGTGCAAGAAATAGCGAGGCAGGAAATGGGCTTTTTCACATGAAGTGCACTGGGGGCGGGTGAACCAGTACGATCCGTGGGAAAGCTGAAATGAAAGCCACAACAATAACAGAATGCCATGTACTAGGGAGTGCAAATCGAAAGATCCATGCGTTCACAGGGACTGAGTTCAGGTTGTCTGTAGACCGCTACAACACCACCTTCCGCGTGGGGTATGGGCATGCGGCCATTGAATTAGGAACTGATTCTGAATTAGTGGAAATGCTCTCCTCCAACAAGGGATATAGCCTGATATAATTTTTGACATTCTCTGGGAAGTGTTGTGGCAGAGAGTTGCTCCCTAGATTGCAGTTGCACTACACAGCACTTCCCTTTATGGTTGTACTTCTGCAGGCGGTGCCTGATATTTTTTCAGTTTCAAGCCTGACACAGCAAGCTATCTGACCAGGGAAGGTCAACAGGTCGCCATGGCCATTCAAGATGAGATGCATATAGACGTGTACGTCTCGGGACGCTGAACTCAAATCTGCTTCCAAAATTTGCCGAACGATTCTCTATGAGGAGTTAGGGGGGGGGGGGTCGTTCTAGCATAGCACTCGCCGATCCTCCTTTGCGTAGCTCAAGTTAAGTTCGAGTAGTCCCATGTGGTCGATGGTGTAGTGGATTGGTAAGTTGCTTCATAGACGGGAGGTCCCTTGACAAGTTCGCGCCTTTGCTTTTCTCGGACATCTTCTGCGAGTTCAGAAAATACTTTCTATCCGTTATTTTGTCAAGCTTGCTCTTACTTGCAGCAGGAAAAGACTTAAGTGCCGGCATTGTGCTTCGCTTTCAAGACTTTTAGGCAGTGTTTACCCTTTACTGCCCAAATCACCCAAAATCAGGCCAGTTTTTGACCGACTTTTTTCTTCGTAAGCAGAATTGGCTGAAAAGTTGCCTACTAGGGTAGTCTGCCCTTCTGAACATGATTATCACATCCGCTCGGCACGAAACCTCCTAGCACCCGTGCCACAGGCGCCACGCCAACTCAGGGAACTTGGTGATTTAGGGTATTTTGGCGCTGGCGCCTGTGGCACGGGTGCTAGGAGGTTTCGTGCCGAGCGGATGTGATAATCATGTTCAGAAGGGCAGACTACCCTAGTAGGCAACTTTTCAGCCAATTCTGCTTACGAAGAAAAAAGTCGGTCAAAAACTGGCCTGATTTCGGGTGATTTGGGCAGTAAAGGGTAAACACTGCCTAAAAGTCTTGAAAGCGAAGCACAATTGCCGGCACTTAAGTCTTTTCCTGCTGCAAGTAAGAGCAAGCTTGACAAAATAACGGATAGAAGTATTTTCTGAACTCGCAGAAGATGTCTGAGAAAATGCAAAAACGCGAACTTGTCAAGGAATCGAACCCATGACCTCCCGTCTATGAAGCAACTTACCAATCCACTACACCATCAACCACCTGGGACTCGAACTTAACTTGAGCTACGCAAAGGTAGGATCGGACGAGTGCTATACTAGAACGATCCCAAGACCCACCCCCCTCCCTAACTCCTCATAGAGAATCGTTCGGCAAATTTTGGAAGCAGATTTGAGTTCAGCGTCCCGAGACGTACACGTCGATATGCATCTCATCTTGAATGGCCATGGCGACCTGTTGACCTTCCCTGGCGAGGTGTGCTCAAGCAGTTCAGGTGCGCTCAAGCGGTTAGTATTTGACCGTTGAGAATCGTCTTCAATGTCACCTTACGCTTCACTAGGATGACGACCTGTTCGAAATGCCCTCTTTGAGAATAGGGATGGCCATGCTTGATATAATGATAATCTCATGCTGAGTGAATTGAGATTTTTTCTCACAGTTTTATGCGTTTACCGATGAGGTCAACTCTTCTCACTCTTTGACGCTGTTTTTCCCGAATAAGCGCCTGGTCGGGGAGGGTGCCAACTATCTTCAAGTCCGCAAGCGATGCGTCTAGCCAACGCTATTTAGCGCTCCTCGTTTATGGGCACCTCGAGCACGAAAGCAGTATTGCAGACGGTGTCAGAATTCGCACGCAAACATGACCGTACCAGAAAAAGGCAAAAATATCTCGGTCGGCTACTTACAAGTGCTACACCTAATCTCTTGCACTGATCGTCACTTCGGACGCTTACCGTCCAGTGCAAAACTTTCATCTTCATCCCTGGCGAGCTCCATTTTCTTTGCTCGTAGGCCACCGCTCAGCGCCTTGTCAAGGTCCCAACCTTGACCGTTGTAATACGGACATTCCACGCTGTGCTGCAAACGTTTAGCTTTGTTGCTACCCCTTCCCTTGTGCCGCCCCCACATTGAAGACTCTCGCATATTTTCCGCACTCGCCAAACCTTGTGCGCGTCGGCTCCCGAGTAGCATTATTTCGGAATCGCATCGCATCTTCAACATGAATGATGTGGACATGGGTTTCGTGGGCCGGCCCCACCACGAAGGCCTGACACCTACTTTCAAATATCCGTCATTAGCTCAGCTCGCAGGGGCGAGCAGTTCCCAGTGACACCACGAGAAAGTACGGACCTCACCACCTTGTACTACTATTATATGATTGACAAAAAATTACTGTAACAGAGAAGTTCAGGTCGATCCATGCGAGGATTTTTTCGAGTTCACTTGTGGCAAATGGATCGCCGCTCATCCGATTCCTGATGATGAGGAATGGTATACAAGATTGGATGTAGTCCGAGAAAAAGTTCTGGAGCAGATGAAAGGTGGTGCCAACATACTGGATCCTCTGATATTATGACTATAGCGCTTGAGGTTTCAAAAAATAGCAGCTGTTCGGTAGAGGATTCTAAATTTAATCTAAAGCCAGTAATGTAAGCTTTATCACTCAAAGGGTTTGTAGCACTCAGCTATCCGCAGCCACATTCAGATGCACTCGAGTCGCCAGAAACGTTCGCTTCCAAATCCATGAACGCCCTTAAGTCTATGTACCACAAATGTATGGACGAAAAGGATGAACAAAAAGGACCTATTCGAGATCGAGCCCAAGAGGCTGCTGCAGACTATTAGGGTGTGTTTTCTAATCTTTCACGGACGGGTTCTTGGGCTCAGAGATTTTTTGCAGAGTTACGGTGTGTGGCCCATGGTGGATGGGGACGACAAATGGCGAGTAGAAAACTTCGATTTGACTTCGTTGATGATTTATGTTAGTGAAAAGAGAGGACTCGACGTCTTCATTGCCACTGATGTCTCGCCTCGACGATAAAAACGTCTCCAGAAGGCTTATCCAGGTGAGAACAGTTAGCGAATGGGTTGCGACTGACGGATTACATTATTAACTACATGACTGATGTCACCGTGCCTTGTGTATTTCGATATCGTGTCTTCTACAACAATGAAAAATCAAACAAAGGTATAATTCTTGAAAGTATAAAATTAAAAATGAAATGATAACAGTATATAACAACAACAAGCAGAATAAAAGCTCAAAAGCATGGACCAAGAAGAAGCTATATTGAACGCCGACGCTGCTCAATTTCCCCATTAGGAGGGGCATCTTTGTGAATTCCCGTTGAAATTTTAGGAAAAAGAGGTTCAAAGGTATGGATACGCGACGAACTTAATTATCATGGAACACGAAGCACTGAGGTTTGGAGCTGACCACTGCCTACGAAGTGTCATGCATTTAGGAGTCATAGTGTATGTCGCAGAAGTGTCTGGCCATGACCATGATGCGACCTCGGGCGATGAAAGCTTTCTTGTGCTGCCAACCGCTTTTATCACCTGAGCTATTCAGATGAGGTGTGAGCTCCCAGTCGTGCACTTTGTCATGAGGATGCTCTGTCGTCTTGTTGATTACACTCCGTCAGTGACTGTGCATTACTTACATTAGATCTTGGAGTATTCCAACATGTAAACGTTCCCAGATTGGTTATATTTTGAAAGAACTTTGCAAGGAACAAGTCAGGTGCAAGCCTGGAATATGAGCCCATGCCTTTCTAAGCTTTCCTACGTGATCAGCGACCATCAGCGTACAGGTTACACCATGTGGGTGTGCGAAATGGCGATGTGAGCACGACCCCCCTCCCTCGAAGGGGGTCCAGATACCCCTCCCCCCTCCTGCTCTAACCAGATGCATGTTCACCACAAATGGCTTCCTGAAATGGAATCTGGATTTTTGAAAGGCGGACTCTGCTCTAAAATCCAGGCAATAAGAGGCTGTTTCAGCCTCATGCAATATGAGGCTGAACAACAGCCTCGCATTACCTACAATTTTGTCTTAGGATTCAAAATAAAACTCCTCGTTCGATAACCATGTATGACATGCAACTTGTAAGAAGGAACACAATCGAAACAGCGACTAATGGTGATCATTAATGAGCTAAACTGGTGGTGAAAAAATAGCCCCAAGGTCAGCGTGTCAGGCCTCAGATGTGCATTCAATGAATGGTGACGGGGAAATCATAAAAACATGCACGACACAACAAAGCGAAACATGAAAAAAAAATGCGGAGCCAAATGAGAAGAAGGAAAACCAGGCGGCAGTAAAACGTTCTATACTTAGCTATTATCGATCGCAAGGTCGGAACCACCTTCGCTGCAAAAACGTCATTGGAGCGCGGTAACTCGAAAGTCAGCGTCCTGGGGTCTTTTCAGGAGCTTATATCTCTTTTAGGTGCGGAGCTTTTGAGGAATGGTGAGCAGCATGCAACGGCAAAGTTTCTACTGTTGTGTATTCTACCTAGTTGCAAACTGAACAATCCCCCGTTGGTGAAATATTCCGGATGGGTTTTGGATAGGCTAGGGGTAAATGGCAAGCGGGTTTTTATGCTTCACACGAGGACTACTTATTTCGAACGCAGTTTCATCAGGATTGAAAGAACCGCCCTATCCTCTGTCTTTCCAAAAAGCTTTACAGTTTTTCTGAAGACCCACTAGATTAGCAGATAATTCAGATGGGTCACAGACGCGCTACCCTCTAACCCATCCGAAAAATCGACTCCTTCTATGCCACTGTGAGGATACACCCGAATGAGTGAAAGAGGAGCTCGGCTTTCACTGATCGATTTGGTCCGAGCGAGAGTGCATTACTCCGGGTCTTCTGCAGCTTTCCGTTCTTCCATCAAACTTAGCAATGACGCTTACGGGTTTGATGCCTAGCAAGCCTGCTTTTGCGATACTCCCCATGTCCCCGCGGCCACGTACGAACCCGTTGAGTAATTTTACAGATTTTGCATGACAAGAAGGCTGTTAAACGTAGCAGTTCAATCTGTAAAGAATACACTCATAATAATTTTCATTTTTTTCATCTCAACTTCCATAGCTCCACTCCCACTATCAACTGAAATGTCGAAGCATTGCCCGGCTCTGACAAGGGAGGTCGTTCAGGGCGTGGTGCGCTTTTCGAAAACGGTTTTTTGCATATTGTAGGGGCTCATGCAAGGACCTGAAAAGTGTGCTTCATTTTCGCTGCGCGCTTCCAGGAAAGGTAAAAAACGAGTGAAAAGAAATCTTTGGAATCTGCTTCGTTCTGGGCCTCTATACGGCGTAGGTCACTTGCAACTTTGACCAGTTGCTGAGTGGGGGTCCTTATAAAGGGGCTATTTGAATCGAAGCGAAAAATCGCCGCAAGTGAGCTTCCAACTTGGGTCACATGCTCAAGGGTGAACGGCTTCTTGCAGTGGTTTCAAGGCGTTCGATTATAATCCTAAGAAGATCCGCGGCGGATAATTTGTCTATATTGAGAGCACCCCCTTGGCTACTGTTTGCCTCCTGGGAGCTCTCAATATCCACCACCAGAGGTTTAGGGGACCACTTTTTTGCAGCTGTACGTTGACTTCTGCCCACCATTTTTTTGATCTACCAGTAATCGAATAAATCAGGAGCAACGTAAACACAGGAATCTGAAAATCAGTAAACAAAAAATAGAAACACAAACGGAACAAAACAGCGGTAAGTCGAACTAAATGATAACGAAGATACAAAGGAATAGAGTGCAAGAAACAAATGCTAAAATAAATGTGAAAGAAACAGAAATGAAAGGAGCGCAAAAAAAACTACCGTCACGTAGCCAGATATCAGATATGAAAATGCGGAGATTTAAATCCGAATCCGATTGTTAGTGGGAAAAGGAAATAAAACAAAAAAACCAGCGAATAGGCGCGTGTACTCCCGGGAGTACACGATTCGCCGAAAGCGGAGTTTTTTCGTGTACTCCCGGGAGTACACGCCGCCGCGAACGTGTTAAGCGACCAGCCCATAATAGCGTTTGGCGCGCTCTGCCACGCACCGACGATCGCGGCGATCCCCGAGGTCGCCGAGGTCGCCGCTGCTGCCGCGAAGTATGAACGCTGCCTAATTGTCTTTGGTGAACCACTCCGCTACAAAGGTCGTATAACTGTTAGGTTTGTTTCCAACACACTCCGATGACTACGGTATCAGGTATTCCTTGTAAAAGTGTTGATACAGCTAGAGCTGAAAAGGTATCGATAATACTGGTAGCGTCCAAAACTTCTACGACATATTCAGACTATTGGAAAGGACGACATCTGGTCATATTGAATGAAAGTTCAGTACAATTGAGAAACAAGGAAACGCTTGCCATCGGCGGCGCTGACGGGGTTCCAGAGGTGGCAAGAGATAGCTGAAATTTGTGAATTTTTGTTAAGGGAGCTCAGAAATTTTCTCTTTACAGTCATCGTAGGGCGTTCGGTTGTAGAGTGGTGTGGCGGCAGGCATGAATCCGAGCTGCGTGTCCATTTTTGCTGGACGCGCTCGTACTCATTGGTGCTTCTGCTTTCCTTCATTACGTTATGTGAAGTGCTGTGCTCCGCGGATGAGGGGGCGTGCCTGGCGGGACTGTTCGGAGGAGAGCTTGTGCATCATCAGCTGGCGAGAGCAAGCGACGAAATTGTATCGTATCGTTTGTACCAGTCGTTTCACACCAATTGTTGCCGCTCATGTGTTTAAACACTGGGCGAAGCAGGTTTTGCGCCGCGCCAGGCTCATCCCCTCTGACAAGTCTCTTCATCCTCAGCAAAGGGGACTGTAATTTGAAACAGATGCATTCCAATGCAATGCAGAAAGTAAGGTACGTTCAACTCATCGATAATTTAATAGCACTGGTGCAATAGTCTATGAAACTTTCTTTCACAACGTTTCTACACCGTGGTTTTACAATATTTAGCACTTCTCAGTTTCTATGTGTTGCTCTATGTATTCTGGGACAGAAAAATCGTTCCGTGCATTGGGGCCGTCGCTTTGTACATTGTGAGAGCTCTGCGCGTGTTGTTGTTGTTGTTGCTGTGAATTTCTTATGTTCGAATTATCAATAATCTTATGGAATGCTAGTTTCGCGTTGTGAGGTGACAAATGGTTCCATTAGTATCTATTGTCATGTCCCTCTTCTAACAGTTCATTTGTCGGGTCGTGTTGTGGAGTGTCCGCTTAGTGGTTTCTGTCTACAACTACTTCTAGCTGGTATTTTTATGGAACAATTTGTGAATTTTGTGAAGGTATGGTGGCTTGGAACGCTCGGTTGATTAACCTTCTGCTCGTATTGTTGAGTTCTGCTCTTTCTTTATACATATTTCCTTTATTGCTCAAGGCGAGTGTTCGAGCATATGCATGAGTGACTGAAGTAGAAACATGAAGTAGTCTGTAACCTTCTATAACCTCTTTCTTTTACCTCTTGATAGGGGTGTGAGAAAGAACAAAACTTTTTGAATCAATACTCACCGCAATCCAGTGATATTTCCAAAATTGTGCTAGAGAGCAGATCCGTTGATGAACGGATCAGTTGTACCGCTGCAAGGAAACAATTTTCTAAATGCTGTTGTTGCAACTGGAGAACATCGGAATCCTAGCCTTGTCATAGCTGGGCTTTCGCAGAAACCGCACAAGTGGCTAGCATCGCGCCGACAGGCTGCGTCAGAGAACAAAGGAAGATATCCCAAAGCAGTGATGTCATGAATCGGTTGAGCGAATCGGGACTCAAGTTAACTTCAAAAAGCAGGTTAGTCAATCCTGTCTGAATCTGGTTACCGTCAAAAATGCACTATCCGAAACTATCACGATTTCACTTCACTGCAAAGGTGAATAGGTGAGTTACACCGGCGCTCTCCATAAAACGAAACGCTCTCCGACCACAGGCTCGAGAACTTGATGGAAGTAAAATGAGGAGTGGTTCGTGTACGGAGATGAATCAAATCATATCCACGAACTGCTTTCACATCGAGTGGAGAGAACGGTAATGATGCATGGAGTCCTAGTGACTTGCGATCCCATCTATTGAATTTCCTGTACCACAGCCACTGTGCTTTACCTTTGTACATGAAAGATCCCGACTTGAGTGGGGATCGTCCGCACTGTCTATGCGCTCATCAAGCTCTCTAAGAAAAGCCCTCTTCTCGAATGACATCGGAGTGCTTTCTCTTAGTTAATTATCTCAATGGCAGTTGGCAGATAAATCCCCAAGACGGGTAGGATCAATACGTCTGGCGGGTTCTCCACGGAAAGTACCCTCATAAGGATTCTATGAAGCTACAACATATCGACCCGAACGCCCACCACCACGCCAGCCCACAAATGGACGACCGTACCTGATGCTCGTATTGCTTCATTTCCAAAGCAAAATAAAGCGAATTTGTTGTGAAGCGGCCGCGGTGCTGCATGGATATATATAAGTACGTAGGTGTAGCCGTACTTACCGTAGCGGTTGTTGGCGAGAAGTCTACAGGGAACTCATCCAAAATTGCTTCTTGAGCCATTGATAATCAAGGCCAGGTTCTTAACCGTAACCTGGATGATCGCTTTGATTTTTCGCCATTTTCCCAACATATAGTGCCCTTCAAACATGCTAGGCCGAGTAACAATTTATCGTGCCAACTGCCTTCAGGCGGCTTGTTTTATGCTAGGGATAGTTCCGTTTCTGCTGACTTTTGTGACCTCTAGAACTTCAAAGCAACGCGTCCATCTTTCTGCGGTGCAGTAGGTATAATTGATTTAGCCTTTATTGATAACGTCCTCTCCTTGGGGAAGCGTTTCTGAAGAGAGCAATGCCACTGCCTCTAGGGATGTCTGATCAGCATGATAGTTGCTTTCTGCACCTTGTGAAACCTGGTCTGCCTGTAGATACAGGTTTCTTGTTTAGCAGTAATGAAACTGCAGCTCAGAGGCTTTATTCAGTGAATGGCTCGCCCCTTTCATGCAATATGCTAGTGTAATCGGTGTATAGAGTAGCTCTTTTCTCCGAGATTCATGGAGAGATCAGCAGCTTCGTGCCTGTGATAGCAGAGATGTTAACCTCTTACTACTCCTCGCCAAATATTTATTCGATTCATTGCAGCCCACAGACTGCTATCTACTGTGTCGCTGGTTATCGCCGCGGACCTTCTTTATCCATAAACATATACTAATGGTGTTTTGAGGCCCAATGTCACTGTCGATGACGGTGTTCAGCACAGGACATCAAGTTACAATGGCTACTTTTTTAGCTTTTGAATTACGAAGGCTTTTCTCTCTCGCAATCTCACATCACCGTTAGCTTTTTCTCACTTCTTCATATACCACATTCTTCTAAGCAGTGGGTATCTACCTCAGTTCTTCCGAGAACATCAACTTATGTCTGAGCAAGTTCAAATCGAGATTGTGCTTATCCAGATTGGCTCCTCTGGACCGAGCAGTCTCTTCTTGCAGCTGAAGCCCAACTGGCTGCTTACACGAATGTTGTCAGCACACTCGCGTTTTGAAGTGCCGATAAAAGTCTATGATTCCTAGTTGCGGCCTTGAAGCCCCATTGCAGGTCGGCCAAGGAGCGGCACTCAAGGATTCGCTGAGCGGATAACTCGTCAGATTGATCGACTCTCTAATATTACCGTTGTTGGCCATTTTTACAAATTCCGAGTTTTCTGCGGAAAAAGGTCCTGTACATCATGTATCGCTATCTTTCCGTTGTGTCCTTGATTATCTGTCTCTACTTTTACTTGCGCCGCGGAGGTGGTGTAGTGACAAGTGGCGCGCTTACCACTCGCCGGGTTCAAGGCTCAGGTCGACTCCCGCCCAGGCCAACCAAGCCTTCTACCCTCCGGGGACGGTAAATTGGTACCAGATTCGGATAAAACACTGACTTGTACATCGGCTGGCCACCGCAAGTCATTGTATAGGCCACATCGCATTCAATAAGCCACTACGATTCTGAATGGAAGTAGAATGCGTGCCGCATCCCACAAAGGGATTGATCAACGGCGAAGAAACTACCCTTTATCCTTTACCTTTAGCTTTAGCTTGCATATGAGAAGAGCAATGTTGAAGCATACAGCATTCTTCAGAATGGTCAGTTTTACGTTGAAATTAGATTTCAGTTATGTCGTCGGATAATAATATTGATTAAGAATGAATAGGAAAAAGTGTGTAGTTCCGAGAATGAGATAATATTGAAGCTAATGTTAATGGTCCTAATAAACAATGTAAATCTGATCACCAAATATTTTAGTTCGATCAAATTGGTCACGTTGGTTTCGGACCGGAGTTTCGTGATTACTATTTGGACCGAGTAAAGTATGGTGGACTCATCGAACTTTACAGACAGTTCCTTGTGGTCGTGGTCAGTGCAACCAGTGATTACGTAGATTCGCTCTACGTATGGTATCGCTTTGTTGGAGAAAAATTTACAACATGGTAGAGACTGTCTCAGGTCAAACTCATCATCGAATACGCCCATCTTCCAAGTAACAATTCGAAGATTGCGAAGGATGTAGACGAGGTAATTGAATTCGAAACGAAGATTGCGAAAATCATGGTGGCTGAAGAGGATCGCAATGACCGTACTAGGATGTACAATCTTCGCCGTCTTGCTGATATGGAGAAACTGACACCCATGGTGGGTAAACTTTTATTGATGTCGTGCTATCCCTAACCTTTTCCACTGCCGCTTTCTGTTCAGGATCAGCGTTCAGGTAGAGAAAAATCTGAGCCGGCCTAACCACTCGCGTGGGATACTCACCTAGAGCTCATCTACCCATTTATTGCCCTCCCCCCGTGTGACACAGTGGTATCTCCACCATTACTTTACCAAGCTATACAGCCCCTGCGCTAACGCGTTACGATCACTCAAAAGAAAACGTGATTAATTGCTCTGCCTCAACTGGTAATGTTTACTGGTAAGCGGCGTAATGGTAGGTAGTGGTTCTGCATGTTAGGTTGTTTGCAGTTTTCTACGTAGGTTGGGAACATAACATTCAGGGATGAATTTCACGCAAATACTTCTGAAGGATCAAAGTGGTAGACCTATGACAGCTCTCACTTTTTTCATTTCGGCTTTATCGGTGAAATTTAGACCCTCTTGAGGTGCTGGCTTTTTATGATTCTTTGCAATACTGTGTGTGATCTCGTTAGGAAACTGCTTTTTCTAGCGTTCTCGATGTACACTTTCTTGTGATGACATGTGCAAGAGATTTTGGCGTACTATCTACGCAGGACTAGCTGAATATGTACCCCTTGATTCCATGAATGTGCCACAAAGGAAATATCTGAAACATATTGGTAATTCACTAGCTTAGGAAGCATAACTTTTTGTGGTACACCTGGTGACCTCTTGTCAAGTCCTCAGTTACAAAAGAAGTGTGCCAGTGAGCTTGATCATCATTTGAGAAAATTCCTATCTAGTAAAGTGAACGAGCTGACACTAGTCTTCATAGGGATACTATTTTTGCGTTGATCACCTGTATCACCTGTGTTCCCGTTGATCATCAAGTTCCTCGAGCGTTGATCATCGAGTTCCTCGAGCGGGCGCCAGTAACGTCTCCATTCGTCCCTGCAACGTGCAAGAGTTGCCCAATGAACTCTCTCTGCTCGAGGGACACGATGAACTTCATACCATTCGTTCAGAGCTTTCACGAAGAAGTCTGACCATCGTAGGCGGTCGTCCAGGCGTTCGCTTGACATTAGTCGGTGATCGCTCTGGTCCAGCTCGAAACGCATGACGTGCCCGGCCCACCTGATCTTCGAAACCTTGGCAAATGCGGCGGCGTCTCTGATCTTCGATCGTCGGCGGAGTGCGGAGCTCCGGATTCCCTCTCTCACTTGCGTGTAGCGGGAAACTCCGAGCATCGCCCTTTCGATGGCGCGTTGAATAACGCATGCTCATCCTGCTTTCGTAGAGTCCAAGTCTCTGAGGCGTACGTCAAGGCAGGAAGGACCGCGGAATCGAAGAGGTGGGCACGGAGCTTGGTGTTCTTCGTCTTCTTCGCTACTCCCTCGATGTTCTTGAAGGCTCCCCAAGCCGCTCGCTTCCTCCTGCTCAGCTCTGGTGCTAAGTCATTCATCATATTGATTTCACGACCCAGGTACACATAGCTAGAGCATTCAGAGATGGTCGTTCCGTTGAGCGTGAATGGGGCATCAGAAACCAATCCGTTTCTCATGAACATCGTCTTCGTTAGATTCAGCCGTAGACCGATTTTCCACACGCGCAGTCGAAATCAGCCAGCATTCGTTCCGCTTGCTCGATGTTTGGTGTTATCAAAACGATGTCGTCAGCAAAGCGGAGATGGTGTAGTTGCCGACCGTCGATCTTCACTCCCATGTCTTCCCATTCCAGTTGACGCATGACGTTCTCGAGAGAGGCGCTGAAGAGCTTGGGCGAGATGGTGTCGCCCTGTCGGACCCCTCTCTTCACATCAATGATGATCTCCTTGTAGAATGGTGAAATCTTGGTCGTGAAGTTGCTGTAGAGCTCACGAAGAATCCTGATGTACTGAGTAGGAATACCCTGGTTGCCCAGGGCTTCGATAACCGCTTCTGTCTCAACGGAGTCGAAGGCTTTCTTCAAGTCGATGAACATCTTGTACTCTCGCGATACTTCGATGAGCTTCGTTACCGTGTGGATGTGATCGATCGTGCTGAATCCTCTTCGAAACCCTGCTTGCTCGCATGGCTGTCCTTCGTCTAGTGTTCTGCCAATCCTGTTCAGGATGACTCGTGTGAAGAGTTTGTAGACTACAGACAGCAGGCAGATTGGGCGATAATTGCCAATGTCGTACAGGTCTCCCTTCTTGTACAGCAACACAGTCTTGCTGGTTTTCCACGAGGTGGGTACCTTGCATTCCGACAGGTAGCGCGTGAAGAGTCGAGCCAGAGTTTTGACAACTGGCGGAAGATTCTTCAGATGTTCGGGTCTGATCCTGTCGGGACCGGGTGCCGTACGATTCTTCACCGACGAGATGGCGTGTCGGACTTCGGAAGAGAGAACTGCAGGAACGACATATCCATCCTGCTCCAAGCGGTATGGTGGCAGGTGGACGTGGCTGTCAAAGAGATCCGAGTAGAAGTCGTGGATGACCTTCTCCATTGCCCTTCTGGATGCGGTGATTGTTCCATCCGGACGGTCATCTGGTTTTGCAGTTGGCGAAGTCGCGGCGGTTTTGCGGATGCTCTTCCCAGCCTCTGCGGCTTCCACCAGTACTGCTGCTCTTCTCTCCTTGAGGTCTTCCTTTATCGCTTCCTCTGCATAGCTTCGCGGCTCGTGCGGCTCCACGTTGGCGAATTAGCTCAAGAGTTTCAGCTCTCTGACTTCTTGGCGCAGTCGTGAAGGTGTGCGACAAGCCGTTCGTATTCCTCGTCGATGTTGTCGATGACGGAATCCTCCCAGAGCCCAGCGAGAGAAGTGAAGG